CCACAGCAACCGGGGGAACTTTACTGGATCACAACAACAACAAAAAAATCTCAAGCGATTGCAAATGTGAAACCTCATCACTCACTGTCACGAGCGAAATCAATCATTCAAAAGAGATGTGCTGGATCAATATATTTATGGCAAGCAGGTCTATTTTTTCACATTATTAGAAGTGTGACAATCCATTCATTGACTACTACAGTATTTTGATCATGGAATTATCATGTAAAGACATTGTTGAATTCAAAGTGTTGAATTTCAGACTGTCATCAGTAAAGCATCCTCAAATTTCTCTCGTCTTCCACGAAAGCAGACTGATTATTTTAGTGTTTAATCAAAATACATTTGGAAATACCTACTTTCCTTCAGACATCTGTGATCAAAAATTTTCCCCATTTTCTTACATGTTATTGACCAAACCAGAAACTGTATCTTAGTGCATTTATGTTTTTGAATTTTCTTTCAATTCTGAATAATGTGGTGTTTTTTTATATAATTGTAATTGAAAAAAATAATTGACATATTAATCGATTTTCAAAATAACCGTTAGATCATTTTGTCATCATTATCATACTGCATGTCTTACAAAGGAGCAAAAGAAGTATTTCCTCATAGTCCGTTTTTTTGTGTGCTCGTTTTCATCCCTCTATAATTAACTAATTGACATAAGGGGCCGGGCCCGGTGATCCAGTGGTTAGCGCGTCGACCTCACAGTGCAGAGAAGTACCGGGTTCAATTCCAGCTCCGGCCTCCCTGTGTGGAGTTTGCATGTTCTCCCCAGGCATGCGTGGGTTTTCTCCGGGTGCTCCGGTTTTCTCCCACATTCCAAAAACATGCATGGCAGGCTGATTGAACACTCCAAATTGTCCCTAGGCGTGAGTGTGAGCGCGGATGGTTGTTCGTCTCTGTGTGCCCTGCGATTGGCTGGCAACCGGTTTAGGGTGTCCCCCGCCTACTGCCCAAAGACAGCTGGGATAGGCTCCAGCACCCCGCGCGCCCCTTGTGAGGATAAGCGGATTAGAAAATGGATGCATGGAATGCAAATGCACGTATTAGGTTGGCTACACTTGCACGGTCAAAGATACCTATTGATAGATGATGGCTGGATGATGGATGGATGGATGAATGACGTTTCAGGAGGATCGCGGTGACCAGTGACCACTCGTCATGAAGACAAGGGCCTTAAAGAATGAACTGCTGCTGCCGCCTAGTGGTTAAAAAAATACTGTATACACAGACACGCACACACATATGCACACATGCGCACACGCACACGTACGCACGCGCGCACACACACGCAAACACGCGCACACCAACACACACACACACACACACACACACACACATTACACTTCTATCATTTTAAACCCCCTGTGGCAACACTTGTCATGTCTGTGGGTAAATCAACAACAACCAGAGTCTGGTGTGCATTATTTGTGGCATTTTCAAATGAAATGTGAAATTAAACATTTAAACACAAATACAACATTCATTATTCTTTATAAATGTAAAGTACCACAACCGTAATGTCATTTTTTAGGAAATTCACACCTGATGGACAATATCACACTTCACTCCTTACATTCTTGCACAAACTTTGCAAAAAAAAAAACCCAAAAAAAAAACATCACATTCTTCTACTTTGAGACAACTACTCCTTACATTCTTGCACAAACTTTGCAAAAAAACCCCCAAAAAAAAACATCACATTCTTCTACTTTGAGACAACTCGTGCATCGAGGAACTCAGTTGAAAAACACCACCTACTGATAATGATTATCTGTTCGCCCTTTACCGCTGATTACTGTGGACATTACCTTTGCTTTGAGATGGACAAAACAATGCTGAGTGCAGCAGTATGTCACACATTATAGGAAGGGACGGGACAAGAAAAAGATCAACAGAAGCGGCCATGCAGTAAAATGTCTCCATCGATTGTACAGATGTGACAAGTGACCATTGACAATAGAATCATTTGAATATGTGATGTTGTTATTGGAGTTTTCCAGTCTGGGGGTTCTAACAGTGAGTTGCCATCACTCTTTCAGGGCCAACAAATGAAAGCCAATGTCATTGCCAACCAGGATGCCAAGCCAAACGAGTGTGCCGTGCCATGAGAAATACATATCAACATTATGCCAGTATTGATACTTTTGGTGGCCTATTTTTGAATCTAAAATGGATGCCTTGGCCCGTTAAATGTTGGGAAACACTGGTGTGCAGTATATGACCTTTGCTGTTTTTTATTTCCTTAGCCACATTCTTGAAGACAGAGCCACGCTGGCAGAATTCCAAGGGGTTGCTTTATTTACAGGAATTCACAAGACTGAAGAGAGGGAATCATTTGAGACCCTACATTCGCTGCATGTTAAGAGACCTATCCTCGAGGCTGTAAAACCTAAAATGTTCAGTAAAGGCCAGCTTTTGTAACTTGAGTACCCATAGATACAGTACATTATCTCATTTAAAAGATGACCAGCGGTAAGTGTATTTAGTTTTGCCGATTTGAACCAAACTGTGTGAATAATGTCACAAGAAAATTGCAGTGTTAATGTTGCTGATGTTGTCAACAGAAGCTCATGAATGTGAGTTCTTACATTAATATTCCAAAGCAGTGTAACTAAAGAGGCCGCTGCGGTATGAGAGGGAGATGGACATAAATCCATGAGTGCATGAGGACCCTCACTGAGGAGTAAACTCCACTCAGCCTCGGCTAATGTGCCTGAAGTGCATGATGGGTAATGGTGGTCGAGGTGATGTGAAGAGGGCAAAATGAACTGTTTTGGCTCATTGTAGTGCCATTGTGCCGCATGTAATGTTGCACAGGGGAGAAGGTTGGACATAATTGTATATGTATAATTAAAATAGACCCAGAACGGCTCAAAAGACCCCTATGACGAATAACAATATTGTAATACTTTTTCCCTTGCCCAGACGTGGGTCACAAGGGCCCCAATTGACGCCAGGACTGGAGGTGGGGCATGTTGGCCTGGTGGCTGGGATTGCACCCATGGGGCATAGTTTTAAGTTGTACAAAGTGTTTTCCAGTCTGGGGGTTCTAACAGTGAGTTGCCATCACTCAGTCCAAAAGGAAAATGTGGGTCCCTCTTTCCCATGGGCTCACCACCTGTGGGAGGGGCCAAAGGGTGCTCTGATAGCTGGATGGCAGCCAAAGGCTAGGTGGCTAGGGAGAGGCAAGTCTGGGTTTCCCCGCTTAAGATGCTGCCTTGGTGACCTGACCATAAGTGGAAGAGAATGATGATGATAATTTAATATGATCCTCATTCCAGATTGATTGTCATACATTATTGTGTCATAAGATGACCATACCCGAGGATCATTCATGTGATATATTCACAAATTTCACCTTGACACTAAGCAGAAAGTGGAGGAAAACATTTTTGTTTCTGAAACTGTCTTATCTTTATTCTCCACAGATATTCTACTATTCTTGAAACAGAGCATCTTTTAGTCGTCTGTTGGCAAGCATCAGAGTGAACACTCTTACTTTTTTCCTTTTCTTTGTTTGGCTGTACTTTTCAAGTGCACTTGCCTATATTTGTAAGTACAGTTCAGTTGTAATTCAGCCAACTATGTTGGTGTACTCTCATGTTGGCCATTATGGTGGAACTTAGAGAGCTAAGTATTTTTTGATCACCTTGAGAAGACCATACAGTTGCAATGTATAGGATAGATTTTCACTGGTTTCAAAGTTCAGACATACATAGTTTCTGTTCAAGGACTCAGCTATTTAATATAATATTGTATATTGGGTCTAGGCAATTGTCACTATAAATTATATGGATTGCCACTGAAACCACTACACTAAGGTGTCCAAAATACGGCCCGGAGGCCATCTGTGGCCCACCTACTGTTTTTTTTTGTGGCCGCGGTATACTACAAATAAAATTTTATATGGCCCACAATGCTTTTGAAAAAGGATGTGAGGGTGTGAGCAATTTTACAAGTGTGGGTGTTGAAAAAGTGGGGGACATGAGTGACGGGGACGACCACTACTGATATTTTCTTTTTAGATACAATTCTGTGAATACATTTCCAGCCAAAAGAATAGCAGCGATCAGCCGTTTCAAAGTGACAATTCCATTTTCACAAGACAAACTCTTCACTATCGTACTGATATCACTTAACAGGTGAACAGATAGCTGTACTGTAATTTATACCAGGAGTTAAATTGCTAAATTGTTAAATTGCTCCATGTACAGCACTTTGTATGCAGCAATGGCTGTTTGAAAGTGCTCTATAAATACAGTTGAGTTGAGTTGAGTTGAGTTGAGTTGAGGAGTGCCCAGATGATTTCCTCCTTGGGGCTAAGTGGTGTCCAGAAAAAAATCCTTATTTTTGAGACATGCTAATTGAGTACACTGCATGTCTACATATGCTAAGCACTTCAGGATATTTCAAGAAGAAATAGTCAATCTTAGCTGGCCATCAGTTAAAACAAAACAAAAATGTTAAAAAGTGCACTCTATTAATTGCAACATTCTACGGGAAAAAAATTAAATAAAAAGCTATGACATATAATTTTTTAAAAACAGTTAACACAATTTCATTCTCACATGTATGTAAGAGAACACTTTTGGGGAAAGTCTGTGGGACTAAAAGGTTCTTTAAATGTTTAGACTGCAGCAGAAGAGGAATGGATTGGATTTTTATAAATAAATACACATAAGTAACCTGAATGTTTGGGAGAAGACAATCTATTTTGATACAGGTACGCACATATACCTCTTGTTAAAATGTTTCCACCAATATTGCATGGTTGTACACTTTGTAGTTTGTTTGAAAAGTCCATTGACAATGAAGAATGTACAGTATTTCTCCTTTTCTTTCTCGATTTATCTTGGACTGTCGCTTTAGCTGAGGGCTCACGCTTGCAAATTATTCAACCGAGTGAAGCATCGAACTTGTAGACAATCTAGGAGGCGAGTGAGTGCAGTTCGCTGCTTGAGCCTTTGACCAGCAGTACCATCAAAGCCCCGCAGCGTCAGCACTCCGGAGCCCGATATAAAGCCCGGCTTCTCGCCTTTCGCCCCCCCCCTTCGCTGTGAAGACACACAATGAGCAGCAGCGCCTCAGCCGATCGGCCCATTTTCTCCAAGGGGGAGGACTGCAAGGCCTCGTGGCACGACGCCAACGCCGGCTACAATGAAGCCGACACGCACCTGGAGATTATGGGCAAACCCGTGATGGAGCGCTGGGAAACCCCGTACATGCATTCCTTGGCAACGGTGGCGGCCTCCAAAGGTATAAGGTGTTTTCTTCATGTAGGCTTCCTTTATCGGACACGCCGTTGCTTGCCAGCGTTCTGACCCACATTTGGCACAAGCGTATAACTTAATTGTGTATTTTTTTTTCAATTATTCGTGTATATAAATGAATTTTCTTTAGTTTGAATTGCTCAAGATCAATCATTTTATTTTGTTCAGTTATTGTTTTTAACGTGAAGGACCTTGTAACTTGGTTTCTTAAGCTGGTATTTAAAAAACGTTATTTAATGCATGCAGTTGGACCGGTGCAGACCTAACAAGGATTTTACTTTCTTTTATGATGAACTCTCTCGAGCACACTTGGGGGTGAGTGAACAGAGAGGAGTCCGGCAGCTGTCATGGAAATTGGCCAAGATGTCTGTAGGGGGGCGGTTCGGGGTGGGAGGCAGTTCGCTCAAATCATCTTTCTTTGCTTTGTGTGAAAATAGTCTCACGCACGCACATGTGCAGGACAAGTGTCAGTGCCAAAACCTTTTTTTGTTGTTATAAATTAATAAATATGCAAATTATTAAAGTTTATATTTAAAATACCAACTTAACTAATAGTGTAAGTAATTGAAGGCCAATAAATCATCAGGAAGCCAGCAACAGCAACTCCCAAGCTACTCACATCTATTTATATTCTTGAAACCCGATAAGCTTTCCAGCCACATCCAACCAACTGGTGATTCTTCAAACGGAAAGCATAAAACAAATAACATTATAGTAGTATATATTTTAAATTGCTGCCATACCACTCAACCTATTTTGTTGAATTAACTATGACCATTTTGAATGTCAAGACTAAAGACGTCAATTTAAACATCCTCTAGATTTCGGTGGCTGTAATTGGGTCTGATCGTGTTTCTGTTGTTGTTTTGTCATCTAGGCGGCCGGGTTCTGGAGATCGGATTCGGAATGGCCATAGCTGCCACCAAATTGGAGTCTTTTCCCATTGAGGAGCACTGGATCATCGAGTGCAACGATGGCGTCTTTGCCCGACTGGAGAACTGGGCCAAGTCCCAACCACACAAGGTCTGTAAGACCTCCACTATAACGGGTTTTTGGAGCCTGGTTTATTTGCCTCGCTGCTCTTGTGCTGGCATGTAAAGATGTTACTGAGTAACTTTTTTTTTTATCTTTGTAGGTTGTGCCCCTCAAGGGCCTCTGGGAACAAGTTGTGCCCACCCTGCCAGATAACCACTTTGACGGTATGAAATCACATCAGATGCAAAGAAATTGTGCCGACATTGACTTTCTGCAGTTATTTAAGCAGTAAAGATGGCTGTACACTTCTATGTAGCACTTTGTCTCCCCTTCCAGGTATCCTGTATGACACATACCCTCTGTCTGAGGACACATGGCACACTCACCAGTTTGACTTTATCAAGGTTAGCTCACAATTTGAGGCTGAAATTCTGACAGTTTGTTGGCTTGTGTGAAATTGGAATCGTCTAGAACGGCAAATGTTATTAAATCGATTGGCAAATCACATCATATGTTGGTGCACCTCAAGGTCTGATTTGTCTACATGTCTGTAGGGTCACGCTCACCGAATGCTAAAGCCTATTGGCAAATCACATCATATGTTGGTGCACCTGAAGGTCTGATTTGTCTACATATGTCTGTAGGGTCACGCTCACCGAATGCTAAAGCCCGGCGGCGTACTCACCTACTGCAATCTGACCTCCTGGGGCGAGCTGCTCAAAGACAAATACAACAATATTGAGACCATGTTTCAGGTTAGTTGTTGTCATCAGCAAATGTGGCTATCGCTTTGGAATGGTACGCAACCTGAATGCAATCTGTCTAGGTGAAGACCACCACAAGTTAGCATTATAGCATTATTTCCAACAGTTTGGGTTGGTTGCTAAAATATTGAGTTGACATCTCTCGTGTCACTTTGCTGTTACAAGAGTGGAATTGAGGCGGGGGGTTAAATTAGGACGGAGATTAAGTTTGTACTTTGTTCCCAGTTATTTCCTCCATTGTGGGATCAATAAGGACCAATTCAGTCTTTTTCTTCTTATGTTATCCCAAAGTGAATCTTTTTATGCTATCCAAAAGTGAAGAAATACATGTAAGATCACCCTATGATTAACGTGTTACATTTATCTTGGACACACACAGTATTTTCATCATCTATATGGCTAAAGCAGGACCAAAGTTCAGTTTTTATTAGGTTTTTAAGGACCTGTCGGCTGAACTAAGACCTCCTACCATTAGTATTCAATTGAATCGACAACTGACTGCTAAAAGGGTAAACATGAACTCTTGAAGACTATTAACAACAAGCAGTTTTTCTTGACAAATATCAATATTGCGTTCTCCAAATGGCATATTTCTGACATATAGTTCTGTTAAATGATCTGGGTTTTAATAATCACCATTAAGGCTTTGTGTGGTTCAGATGCAGAGCACAGCCACTGTACATCAGCCTTTAGTTCAGGGCAAAAGTTTGTAACGTGCTGCAATAAGTTCACGGTTACTGATAACACCACCATCGCACCTTACTGAGCGACTGTTAATGATTTCAGGAGAGCCAGGTGCCTCATCTGCTTGAAGCCGGCTTCAAGAAGGAGAAGATAAGCACTACCACCATGGACATTGTACCTCCCACTGAGTGCAAATACTATTCCTTCCATAAGATGATCACCCCCACCATTATCAAGGAGTAAAGTGCAGAACACTGCTGAAACCATATTTTTAAACTATCATGTGCCTCCTCTGACCCTCTCCTTACTTACTTGTTTCCCAGCTTTCAATAAAACCAAATCCATATCCATGGGTCACTGGATTTTTCAATTTATGCTGGCAGGTCACATAAGAATAACAAACAAGCTTTTACACTCAGAAGCACTTGCACAGTCAACAAGAGGTGTTTAATGTTGTGACAGTGAGAAATGTTTTTGTGGCCTACTGGGATGCTACAAAGTAACAACTATATGCATTACTGTGAAGATACCAGTGCATGTTAAATGAACACAATATCAACGCGTAAGAAATTTGTCATTGGACGGACAGAAAACGGCAGGTGGAGAAACTACGGGAGTTGGCAGCGCTCAAATTGGAGAAACACATGGCTTGCATGTTAGGACATTAGTGTATACTCTTGTCCCTGCCTTATTATTGTAACCTGTACTGGTGGAATAACATGTACATTGTTGTATGGAAAATATTTAGTCATAACAGAGACTGGCTGTTTATACAGATCTGCAAACATTAAGAGCCCCCCCCACCCCCCCCAAAAAATGATGACCTTTTTTGGCATTTTGAACATTTTTGATTTTCTACAAATAAATGCTAAAAAAATGACATTTGAATGTAGAATTTTGGCATTACGGTGTTAGTAGTTTATGAAATACAAACATTTTCATTTTACTAAAAACATATACATAGAAATAGCAAAATCAGAAAAATGGTTAATTTTGCAGTGACTGATTTTTTCAGACCTGTATATTTGTAGAATTTTCCATTGTGACATAACGCACTAGCACACTGGTCAGAAATATGATACTAGCGGAACTGTGCTGGTTGAATTAGATTTCAGTTGAATTCGTTATATACTGTACTTCTGAAACTAAAAACATGTCAGAAGTGTTTGGGTCAACTTTGTCTGCTTTGGGTCTGCTGCCAAGTTGGTAGTTGGCGCCACCTGGTTGACAGTCACTGTAAACCAGGCATTTCTGGTTTACCACTTTCAAGTACCGACGGGGCAATCGAAAACTCCATCGTTATACCAACCTAACCAAGTTAAGAGATTTTAATTGTGAGTGGAACTTGTATTTTTGTTAAAAAAAAAAAAAAAAAGCTACCTTGGAGAAGTGACAGCTCACTCCATGAAAAAACAACCACACGAGAGTTTGGTTGAAAACAAACAGAAGAAAAGCTAATGTTAAATAACATTGACTTTATTAAAGTGATTTCTTGCACATCTACACTGAGGACGAGTGACGTCCCAAATGAAACCAGAACCACAAGCCCAGGTATACACACATACACAGTCATAAATGATGCCTATATTTACTTCCGATACCAGATTGCCAACTTCTTCTCACGTTTGATCTTTTTCTGCAACTGCAATGTTCCATAGAGGAGAGCCTCTGCGGTGGGTGGGCACCCTGTGCAGACCAGAAATGAGTAGCAGTTAACATTTTAGCCCTGAATTTCCTTTTAAGAGAGTCGCTTCCGAAGCAAAAGCAGACTTCACCCTCGGCCTCTGTGCAGCTGTAACTTGTGTCTTTAAAGGGTGAGTAACTTTAGATTTGAAATGTTTCCAATTGTATGACATTTAAAAATATTTCAATGTTACTTACTGTGGGCCACAGTTAATAAAGATTTTATAATGGTGACGGACTGAAACTGATTAGTTCTGTTTCAATGGTTTTCTATTCATAAATGTTGTAAGTTGGAGGTTACCCCATAAACTGCAATGGATTGTGTTTGACTGCAATGGATTGTGTTTTACCCCTAAAGGTTACACTGTACTATAATTATCAGCCCAATAGTAGATTAATATATGCAATATAATCATCATCATATGAATGTGTGTAATGAGTGCCAATGGTATACCTGGAACATAAATATCCACTGGTACAATTCGGTCACAGCCTCTGACGACAGCATAAGAATAGTGGTAGTAGCCGCCTCCGTTTGCACAGCTGGGTTAAGGAAAGTTGTAACAATCATGGGTCAGGCATTGATTACAACAGTAGTATGTTGAGAAACAAAACATTCACTTTACTGCCAATACCAATTTACACAAGAGGACGTCAGTGATAGAAACACGATTTTCACGCAGCATTCTACAGGTAAGAAAAGTGCTTTAGTGGTCATCTTACCTTCCCATGGAAATGACGTATCTTGGCTCAGGCATCTGGTCGTACACCTGTTGGAAATAAGTATTAACATAATATTAAATGGTATATATAATGCATACCGGTAACTGACTTTTGTACACAAGTATGTGTCATCAAGTGTGAAATCATAAACATAGATCAATTTTCTACACGACTTGTCCTCGTCAAAGTTGCGGGTGAGCTGGAGTCTAATGTCAACTGATTTGAGGCGAGAGGCGACTGGTCCCCAGCCAATCGCAAAGAACCCAGTACATCTTTGATTATCTGCTCATGACAGAAAATATTTCTGTGAAAAACACTAGTCAATCTGTTGGCCGGTGGTTGTGTTCGCTGTTAAATGCTATCCTGGTCGACAGTTCAACAGTTGCAAACAAAATCAGTCCACTCGCAAGATACTCCCAGTTCACCAAGTCTGCTCCTTTTTTGTCTCGGTTCAGACCGGTACTGGAAGCTGGGTTCTTGTGTATCTCTCAGCCACATAGATGGCAATGATATTCTCCCACATTGTTTTAAGTTCACCACACTGTGTGTGTGCGTGTGTCTTTTTTTAAAACTTGAATTGGCTGTGTGTCTGCTTGTTCGGCACATGCGTGACATAGTATGTATGATCTTGATGCCGGCTGGCTATCACCGCCGGCAAATGTTCACTTGGGCTTAACGCAACGAAATGGGTGAAGGAGCAAAATGTGTGCTTCAAACACGCCCCTCGGTACGCAACTGCGCCTGATCATGCGAACTGTATTGACCAACTATTGAAACACAGCACCAGAAACGCTGAGAACACATTCGGTCTGACCATAGCATTAGACTTCTATCTACAGCTGATAATTCCCCCTCACCTTTCTCAGCGCTGGAGCCATTTTGTTTGTCAGTGTCCCAGCCACAATCATGACATCAGCCTGTCTGGGACTGGCTCTGAACACTACGCCGAAGCGGTCCATGTCGTAGCGGGGCGCTGCCATGTGCATCATCTCCACCGCACAGCAGGCTAAGCCGAAGGTCATAGGCCACAGAGAGCTCTGCAAGAACAAACACAGCAGTTGTAAAGAGTAGTTGATAGTGAGTGATAGGACATGTAATATGCACTTGTACATGTTTTGTTCAAGAAACAAATGAAATTAATTGTATAAATCGTATTTGTAAAAAATCGCACTGATTTCATGGAACTAGTCCTAATGTAACTGGAATATAGACTCACCAAACATTTCATAAATCAACACAAAAGTAGAGAGGTTTTAAATCAACAATAAGTTCATCAATGGTTGTGGTTTCTCGTGGTGTACATTTGTACTGCATCGGGGATTCAGGATATGTCTGCTTGTTCGGCGCATGCGTGCCATAGTATGTATGATCTTGATGGCGGCTGGCTATCACCGCCGGCAAATGCTCACTTGGGCTTAACGCAACGAAATGGGTGAAGGAGCAAAATGTGTGCTTCAAACACGCCCCTCGGTACGCAACTGCGCCTGATCATGCGAACTGTATTGACCAACTATTGAAACACAGCACCAGAAACGCTGAGAACACATTCGGTCTGACCATAGCATTAGACTTCTATCTACAGCTGATAATTCCCCCTCACCTTTCTCAGCGCTGGAGCCATTTTGTTTGTCAGTGTCCCAGCCACAATCATGACATCAGCCTGTCTGGGACTGGCTCTGAACACTACGCCGAAGCGGTCCATGTCGTAGCGGGGCGCTGCCATGTGCATCATCTCCACCGCACAGCAGGCTAAGCCGAAGGTCATAGGCCACAGAGAGCTCTGCAAGAACAAACACAGCAGTTGTAAAGAGTAGTTGATAGTGAGTGATAGGACATGTAATATGCACTTGTACATGTTTTGTTCAAGAAACAAATGAAATTAATTGTATAAATCGTATTTGTAAAAAAATTGCACAGATTTCATGGAACCAGTCCTAATGTAACTGGAATATAGGCTCACCAAACATTTCATAAATCAACACAAAAGTAGAGAGGTTTTAAGATAAGATAAGAAAACCTTTATTAGTCTCGCAAAGGAGAAATTCCCAATTCACAGCAGCAAAGTTATGAAAGGAAGAAGTAGAACAACAAAATATAGGAGCTGCTGGAAAGGCAGCCACTCTCGCGGCGCCATCTTGAAGTTAAAATAACAAAAATAATTTAACAATAAGTTCATCAATGGTTGTAGTTTCTAGTGGTGTACATTTGTACTGCATCGGGGATTCAGGATTCAAGTACGATTATTTATTGTCACTTTGACAGCTACATACCAGAAAGTGTTTCTCTCTGAACTGAACCACAGCGCATGGACAAAGGGTATAAGAGTATGTAAATGACAAAACCACAAAATGTAATGCAAATATAAAAAAAGCAATAGTGTTGAGTGGATTAGTTACTTTTGAACAGTGCAACTATAAAAACAGTGAATGATATATCTATCTATCTATCTATCTATATATATATGGAAATTAATGACTCGCTGTGGCAACCCCTGAAAAAGGGACAAGCCGAAAGGAGAAGAAGAAGATATATGGTAAATTATAAAGGCAATAACATTTTGGGCTCATAATAGGAGCGCATAAGACAGTCTGTTTTAAAGGAGCTGGTAAACATGTATTATCTTAACTGTTATTATATTGATGATACCTAAGTGACAGTGTCATTCATAAAAGATCATTCTTGTATTGTGCATGTGTAATTTTATGGCTAGTGAATGAATGTCAAGCACAAGTTGCTGCTTCCTGAAGCATAGCGGAAAGATGTTTGGGTCACAATACCTGCATTATTAAGTATTGGAATTCAAGAGGAATTGTAACCATGAACAAACACAAAAGACGGTTAACTCACCCTGCGTGCCCAATTAATGAGGTCATCCAGTTTGGTGATGACATACTCTCCCTTGCTGCTGGCTACAGACGATGGTTTGGCAGCCGCCACTGCCGTGCTTTTCTCTCGGATGGGAACCACACTGCAAGATGACACAGTTCAATGTTATAGGGTACTTTGATAGAAAAAAGCAGCAACAGACAGAAACCTTTTAATTGCGCGATGGCTTCTCAGCGATAGCATTCTCAGAGACGTCTTCTAGGCTTTTTTTATATTCAACACACTCACCTTGTGGTGGTATTCTCACTTTTAGTGGCACTGTGCAGACTCTTCTGCTGAAGAAACAATGACGAAATGGGTCTGTGGAGCAAAGACTAAGTCAGACAGAGTTACCAAAATCATATTATAGACATTTGTATTTGTTCCAGTCCAATAGAACTTTGAATCATGTCTTTGGCATTAATCTGGGCAACAGTAAAGCCAAGGTCAAGCAATTAATGCATTCTTAGTTTGACAACTGGGAAATGAACATTTATCATAGCCAAACAGAAAGTCAGTTAGACAGCATCAAAGT